TAGAGCAGAATCCTGCCCCTCCAGAGCCGAATCCCCCCCCAGCGCCGAATCCTCCCCCGGAGCCAAATCCGCCGCCTCCAAGGCTGTAGCAGAAGCCAGCACCGCCGGTGTTACAGCTGCCTCTCCCGCTGCCAGCTCCGAATCCCATTCCTCCTCCTCCAAGGCACAATCCACCGCCATATCCACCTCCGGCAGAGCTGTTGCCGCCTCCCACCACGGCTGCAGAGAAGAACAGAAGGCATGAGGTTACCACTGATGCCACCATAATGCTTTGGAGCATCACTCCCAGCCCACCGTGCTCCCTCGGGAGCAGGGAATGGTACTTACAGACACTCACGGAGCTCTGACACTCTCCAGACATCCTGCAAGGAAAAGAGATGGAGTGTCAGCTCCAGCCAGAGCAGCTGGACTGGTCCAGCTCCATGAAGCCAGGCTTGGTCCATCAGACCATGGACATAAATAACAGCAGCTATAGTACTGTAGGCTAATGGCAACACCGTTGATATTTTAATAGAGGACATGTGATGTGCCACCTTCTTCCCATTAATTTAGCAGGATGCAATCAAGCTCTTGCTGTCCCCTCACCCACCTGCACTCCTCTCCTTCCAGGAGCTTTCTGTAGGTCGCAATCTCAACGTCCAGGGCCAGCTTGACGTTCATCAGCTCCTGGTAATCCCGGAGCTGCCGGGCCATGTCCTGCTTTGCCTTCTGCAGGGCTGTCTCCAGTTCAGTCAGTTTGGCTCTGGCATCCTTGAGGGCCACCTCCCCACGTTCCTCAGCGTCCGCAATGGAGCTCTGCAGAGTTTCACACTGGAGGACAAGAGGTGGATGTGAGGAGTGGGGCAGGGGCAGCCGGTCAGGGACGAAGCCATGACCCCAGGTCATTTGGGCTCAGCTATTCACAAGCCTGGCAGGTTCCCTCCCACTTACAATGATTGTCACCAGACTATTTGCTTTTAGGGAAGCTCCGAAGGGCACTACCCAGAGCCCACACCCATTTCTCAAAAAGATGCAACCCCTACCTGTTTCTTCACGCTCTCGATCTCAGCCCGTATCCTCTGGATCATGCGGTTGAGCTCAGAGATCTCCGCCTTTGTGTCCTTAAGGCTGTCTCCGTGTTTGCCTGCGGTGGCCTGCAGCTCTTCGTACTGGTAGGCAGAAGGGAGAGGAGCAGGTTAGGTCCACCACGAGCAGCTCCTCACAACGGCTCTCCGTACTGCCACGTGCAAGCCAAGGCAAGCATGAGTATGCTAGGTCCAGTCTGGCTACAGCAGTACCAGCAATATCCCAGGTCTCAGCCTCATCCGAGCTACACCAGTGACTCTTCCACTTCCTCAGCCATCCGTGATGACAAGCAAGGTGTGGAGCACTCACCTTGCATTTGTACCAAGACTCAGCCTCCACTCGGCTCCTGTTGGCAATCTCCTCATATTGGGCTTTGACCTCTGCAATGATGCTGTCCAGGTCCAGGTTTCGGTTGTTGTCCATGGAGAGAACCACAGAGGTGTCGGAAACAGTCTTCTGCATCTGAGACAGCTCCTGTAATACACACCAGACCTGGCTTTAGCCCTGCCATGGTCTCCTCACAGTGTCACAGCCCATCTCTCCCCCACCAGCATCCCCCCCCAGAGAGCGGCTGGACCACTTACCGCTTCATAAAGGTACTTCAAGAAGTTAATCTCATCTGCCAGAGAGTCTAATTTTGCCTGAAGCTCCACCTTGGTCATGTAGACTGCGTCCACATCCTGCAGCAGAAACGGGAGGTGAAAACCTTCACCCTTTTCTCTAACACTGAACCATGAGCCCTTTGGTGTTCCAACGGCACGAACACCTTGGGGTCCTGGTTTATCTCTGATGCTAACGAACCCATGCTGATGGAAACAAGACATCCTCTGAACCAAGATGTGTCTTTGCGGTAAAAAAAATAATAAAAATATAGTACTTTACCTTCTTTAGGAGGACAAAGTCATTCTCTGCAGCTGTCCTTTTGTTTATTTCCTCTTCGTACCTGGTGATTGTAAGGAGGGAGATTGAATCTCTCTGCTTGGTTTGGCTCCGGCTGCTGCTGGCAGTGAGAGGCTGTTGGCCTCAGACTAACAAAGGCAGCAAAAATAGACCTGCCATGAGCGAGATTTATGGACAAGCAATGGCACTTCGCCTTTCTAGACAAGTCTGGGCTCCTGCCATGTCCAACGCCTCGCTGAAGGAAGCCTGTGAAGAGGAATCCTCTCCCTGCCTGACCCGAGCCCTGGTGGCCACGGCCACTCCAGCTCCTTCTACAAGACCCATAGACCTTCAGGTCCTCAACATGGGCCATTTCCAACTGCTCATCGGGGCAGGTAATTGCTGCAGACCCTGAAGTGGTGGAGAAGGTCCCCAAAACAAACTCAATTTGCAACCTCAGCAGAACAAGGGGTCTGCTTGGTCCTGACGAGTCCCAGACTCGTTTTCCCACCATTTTTTTAACTTCTCCAGTGGAAGCATTCCTCCAGGCTTTGTTCTTGTTTTTTCAACTGGACAAATTAATCTAATAGCTGGAAAATAATATTTTTTTTCTTTTTTTGCCCCACATCGTCCTTCCAAAGAAAGCCCTGTGCTTCAAAACATGAAGGATACAATGGGGAGGAAACCATGAGGAAATCCGTGAGGAAATTATAACAGGATTTAGCAACGGATCTAAGTAGTTCATTAAATCATAATGCCACGGATTCTTAGGAGGGGAAGACAAACAGTAGAGGCTCCTGCTTTAGCGAGAAGCATAACTCAGACAACAGCATATATTGAGAAATACCTTGAAAAATCACTGCCTCTTGTCAAAGCTCCATTGACCAAAACCTCCCCAAAACCTTTTGCATTTTCTAATCGTTGAAACCAGTGAAATATTACCATTTCTTATGATTCCTTGAATTATATGGCTATTCAAAGTCAGCTTTTGCCTCTATCTTTCCACCACCACACAACCCAACCACGACCAGACCAAGAACAACATACTTGGTCTTGAAGTCTTCCACCATATCTTGGAAGCTCTTCAGCTCTGACTCCAACTGATGCTTCTCGCTGGAGAGACTGTCCAGCTGCTTCCTCAGCCCACTGATGTAGGTTTCAAAAAAGGGGTCGAGGTTCCTGCCACCCGTCCCTGTGCCACCCTGCTCCTGCAGGAGCTTCCACTTGGTCTCCAGCACTCGGTTCTGCTGCTCTAGGAACCGGACCTAAAAGTGGGCAGAAAAAGAGTCAGACTATTCCCAAAAGCATCTTTTTATAGATTCTTTTCCCCCCACACACATTTTCCGTAATTTTTTCTTATTTAATTAGTTTAACCTTCCTGCCTATTCTCATGTCCAGTGAGCCATAACTCCAGGCTCCCACTGGTCGGGTGGAACCACAGCTCCAGAACGAGCGGGCAAAGGTGACTTTCCCTCTCCAACCTCACAGTCCTTAAACAGGAGGAACACGGTGAACTCATAGCTGAAGCATCTTCTCCTTAGAAATAGGCCAAAACACCCCAAATCCTTCAGCCCATGGATGGACAGAGTCCTTTCAGCAGAGGCTCCTCTGAGGATGCTCTGCATGTAGGTACGTGGTCCAGCACTGTGGTCTTAACAACCAAGGATCCTACTCCTGTGTTTCTCCATAACCTTGGGAAAGTCACTTCTCCAGCCACCATCTCTCTGTCTGGAGGGGACCTTTGGGGTGCCCTGGGCAGCTCCTGGCTCTCTGGGTGCTATTGGATGGGTGTCTCACAGTAATTGCAACCAGCACGAGCCGTGGTGAGCTCAACCCTCCAACTCTCAGCTCTCCACCTCCCAGCCGCAGGGTTGAAGCCACTCTCACCTTGTCAATGAAGGAAGCGAATTTGTTGTTGAGCTTCTTCATCTCCTCCCGCTCTTGTGTTCGCACCTGCTGGATCTCAGGGTCGATTTCAAGGTTGAGTGGGGCCAGCAGGCTCTGGTTGATGGTCACTTCCCTGATGCCGCCCGGTGGGCAAGGGAGAAAGCCTTGGCCTCCCATCCCGCCATCAAAGCCTCCACCAAAGCCACCAAAACCACCACCAAGGCCTCCACCGAAGCCACCTCCAGCCCCACCACCACAGCCACCACCAAATCCTGCCCCAGCACCGTAGCCATAGCCAAAGCCACCTTGACCACCAGCTCCAAAACCTCTGCAGACACCACCACCTCCACCAAATCCTCCCAGAGAGGTGCTTTTACTCCCTCCCAAGCAATAGAGGCTCCTGCTGCTGAAGCCACCGGCGTTGCCAGGTCCCCTGCATCCTCCCCGGGACACAGAGCTGAACGTGACCTTGTTCCTCCCTCCAAAGCAAGCGGAGCTGGAGCTGAATCCCTTGCCGAGACCACAGGACTGGCGAGACATGGTGACGGGTCTCCAAGAGTCGACCCGTGGAAGTGAGAGAAGAGCGGCGTGGTGCACGGGAGGAGGATCGGAGGCAAGAGGAGGTGAGTCCTGTGGGTGCAGTGCCCGGGTGCCCCTTTTTATGCGCTCAGGGAGTTGGCCGGGTGTCAGGGGAGTGGAGATGTCTTTTTCTTTTTCTTCTATTCATTGTTGTAGGGCTTGGAAGAGTGCCCTCCCCTCTTTGCCACCACCATGACCTGCCTCAAAACACTCCCTCGAGAGCTAAGAAAAACAAAGCTATTGTTGGTGTTGGAAGCACAACTCCGAATCAAATTCCCTTAGTTGCAACTGTCAACTCATGATGGGCCTTTCTTGAGCCTCTCATGGCAGTGACAAAGCACTACGAATTCCTTGACACATTACAGCCTGGAGGGGAGACCCTTGTTTTAGCTAAATCACTCATTTTGAGCCTGATGGCAGGTGCTTGGTTCACTGAATTCCAACAAAAACTGCGGTTTCCCAATCGCAGCCTCAGATGCACTCGGGTTCAACCTCCTGCTCGGAGGAGGTTTGCCTTGGGTTGCCCAAAACTCTTTCACAACCGGAGAGCATTAGCCCTTAGCAGGGTTATAAAATTAGTTTTGTGTCAACAAAGAAGCCCCAGAAACCCATTTCAGGGAATTTTAAAGCCATTTTAGATCCTTCTGACCGGGGTGCGTTGAGCCTGGAGGGACGCGGAGGGCTTTGCGGATGCCAAAATATCTCCACGTTTCCGCTTCGCGCGCCCTTCGCCGCACCTCAACAGGGTGGAGATGCCACCACCGGCCTGAGGAGCTCCTGCCCCACATCTTGGGGGGTGGGGAGGGTCACGTAAACCATCCATCCCACGGCAGAACCCTTCCAGGCACTGTTGGGATATTTCCTCACCATCCCGGGGCGGGGGGGGTCTCCCGCCGCACGCCCCCACCGCAGCACGTGGCAAAGCCACTCCTGCATCAGCCCGTCAACGAGCTCGCATTGTTGGGTTTTTTTTAAAAAAAAAAAAAAGTATGACTTAATTGCTTAACCACTTTTAATTTATATTTTAATGAGCCGAGGTGTCTGAAGCTGCCTTCCAACAGAGGATCCCCATTTATCCCCAAAATAAAAACCCATTAAACTTCCCCCCCCTCAAGCTGCAGCTGAAGCCATGACAATAAAAGCCGACTGTAATTATCCCTTTTATCGGAGACACTCGTGGGAGAGGTTTGGGGAACCAGTTTCAGCGCTGAGCCTCTTCACCCCAGGCTTTTTTTGTGTTGTTTTTTTTTTTTTCTGCAAACATGCAAATCTGAGCCCGGGCGCATCTGCAGGAAGGGAGGACTTTTCCTCCTGAACTTTGTCGGGTTTTCCTTGAACTGCCGCGTTTCCAGCCCCGGGGCGGGGGGATTCGCCTGACATGGAAAGGAGAAACTCGTGGTCCCTTTTGTCCACGAGCATCCTGCACACCCCGGTCCTGCCTGGAGACCCTCTCCTACCCACAGGGAGGGGGATTTTGAGGATCCCCCATTTTCCAGCTGTTGGTGGGGACGCGGAGGAAAGCGGTTTGGACCCGGTTCTGGCCCCGGGGAAGGGGCGGAGGGGGGGGAAGGAGGCGGCGGCCGCGTCTCCCCGACCTTACCCGGCAGCAGAAACCGAAGGAACCTGTTGGAGCTCAGGCAGAGAGCAGAGCTGCCGAGAGTTCCCAGGGTGGCTCCTGGCACGGCTCCCGGCCCCACCGCCGGCACTTGCCCAAGGAGCCCAACGAAGCGCCCTGCGACACCCGTGAAGTCCTCCCCCGTCAGGCCAGGGTGGGAAAAACCTCGCCGGGGACGCCGGGGCTGCCTCCCAAATCCATCCGGCACCCCCAAGGCTGAGCATCTCGGACGCTCCAGCGCTCTCTGGGGATGATGAATTCACCAGAAGCAAAGGGCCGGTGGGAGACGCGTCTCCTGGAGACCCAACGTTGGCCACCACCACCCGCCCAGCACCAGGACGGAATGTCCTGGCAGAAGCAAAGATCTGGGATGAGTGCCCCAGGGTGGGAAGCACAGCATGGAGATGACCTTCCTCCCAAATCCGTGGGGTGCGGAGCAGGGACAGAGCCCATGGGACAACCCACCCCCGCTTTAATCGCCTCCCCTGCGGTGGGGCTGGCAGGAGAGGTCAAATTCCAGCAACTCCTCTCTCCTGCAACGGCAGCGAAGCCGACGTAGTGCGCAGCAGAGATTAGACATTCCCAAACACAGGATGCATGAGTCCTCCTCTTAAAGACTCATAGTAGCAGCTCAGGCTCCTTTCCTACACCAGAAATCCAGATAAAATCTCCAAATTGGGTTATGGCTGGGTTCAAACCCTCATGGCTATATCACTACGGACCGGGACAACCCACCGGACGTGTCCAAGAACTCCTCAGCCATCGATCCCCGTTGCTCTCCAGCAATGCCCACACACACGTCCACCTTCCCGGGGGTTTCTCCTCTCCCTGAGGATGGGGGACAAACCCCCAGACCCACGCGCATCCCCCAGGCCAGGCATGAATGTCAGCCTGGGAAGAAAAAATCTGCTCTTCTCATGGAAAGATATAAATAACCAACTTCTCAGCGTCCTAACCCTCGCCCAGAGGTGAAGCCTCACCCCAGGAGGTTTTGCAGCTCCATTAACGCGTAGGGCTGCATTTCTTTAACGAGCTTTAACGAGACTTGCTCGGGGCTCCATAAGGCCACGGCGGGGACAGTCGTGCCCCACAGATTGCTCCAACCTGGTGGCAGGTCCCCGTCGCTGTGGGGTGGCAGCTGTGGGGCAGAGACCCACGGGCTCCATCAGATGGTTCATCTGCCCATGGGTCATCCTTCATCTGCTGGTGGGTACCTGAGGGGGTCACATGGGGGTCTAATGGAGGAGTGGATGAACCATGGTGGGATGGGACCCTTCCCTGCGGTGGACAACGCTCTGGGATAGAAACTGGGATAGAAACCGGGATAGAAATGGGGATAGAAACCAGGATTTCTGCTACTAGGAGCTGACAGTGCTCAGCACCCCTCGTTAGGACCAGGGTGCTGGAAGCAGCGCAGCCCCTCAGCTGCACCACTGGTTTCTACTGGGAGGGTTTCAGAGCCAGAGAAGCTCCTCAAAACCGTCAATGGGGATCAGAGCCCAGGGCAGCCCCACGCCGACGGCCCACACTGGGGCTGGTGTCTCCTTGTCCCCACAGGCCAGGTCCCACCGGCAAAGGAGAGGGGGAAAAAAAAGAGAGAAGATCCCCCAGGTGGGTCCCACAGGGCCCTTTGACGGTGTATCGTTGACGGGTCCTCATTGCGGGGTTAAAAAAGGCTCCGGACAACCCCATCCATCGAGCACGGAGATGGATACTTGGGTACCCCCCATATCCCCACAGCCCCGAAGCACCGGCAGCATCGCGGCTGCGTATGTCCCCCTCGTAACCTCTCCCCAAGGGACCCCAAACATGGCCAGTTTCACCCCAGAGCCGTACTGGGGGAGAAAACCCCCTCAGTTTGGTGGAAGGAGCAGAGGAGGGGGAACCTCCCGACTGCTCAACCGGCGATTGGCAAACCAACCGCGGGGCGGGGAGGTGAGCCGGGAATCCTAAAAGCCGAAAAATAACAAGGTAGGGGTCCGTGCCCCCCACACCCCTGGAAGGGATCAAAGCAGAGGGTTGCAGAAGATGGGGGGGGGGGGGGTCC